ACAGAATCTGAAAATCACACCTTAAGAAATATGAGCATAGGGACTGAATCCCCATAGCTACTTAAAACCTCAGGGTTTTCTGGTTTTTTTGTTTTTTGGCCATTACTAAAAACTTTCCTAGAAGTTGGAGAAGTCATATTTTAGTTTATTGTGTAAAATAAAAATGTTTTATTCTCGCTATAAAATGTGAATGTATTTTCATGATTTATAGCTACCAGGATGGGTAAGCTGTATCTCTTTCAGAAATGACAGTGTGTCTTATAGAGGAAGACACACAAAGAGGGTTTTAACAGCAGAATCCCTTGATGTACTCATAATATTAGTTTATCAGCAAAGCTATCAGCCTTAGCTTTTTCTTCTTTAAAAATAAAGGCAACATACATTTCTTAGGGTAGAAACTGTCTCCATCTATCTCTATGACTGTAGACATTTCTCTGAAATGAGCATTTTTTAAAAGATGATAACATTTTCATTCTCCTGCCTTGCAGTCAATGCATTAGCCTTTAGAAAATCTCTTGCTTAGGTTCTCATACACATACATGCAGTAAACCTCTCCTCTTCTGCCTCTGTTAGCCCTGGCAACACTTTGGATTTACTTCAGAATAAATGTACAGATTTTGAGAAATACAACATAAGTTTTTTCTCCTGTCTGATTTTTAGTGCCTTTAGGTTAGCTTCCACCCAACTTACATTTTTCAGTATAGTCCAGAAACCATTAGTGCCCATCAGAGGTTTCTGCAACTCTTCATACTTCCACTTCAGAACTTAACTCTCTCTGTTTCTTCCTTCTTTGCTATGCAAATTAGCAGGAACCTAGGTAGAGCAGATGAGTAAAACAAATCAAGGCCTGACAGGCTTCAGTACAGTAATACAAGCCTCAGCTTTGAAAACTGCCTGAAAAGCAGAACCAGGCAGCTTATGTGTTGTGGCCTAGTCCTCCAAAAATCCAAATGTAGTTCTTCACAGGAAATCATATTGGACTTTGAGTATTAAATGTGATTAATGGCCAAAAGAACAGTGGGTTTTCGGTGAATATTAATAGTTGGTTAATAGCTTGAAGTAAAAAAGGATAGAAAGAAGCAAGCTATGCCTCCACTACCATGTTTGCTCTGGTAGGCCAGGCAGTCATGGAACTGTGGTGACATTAAAATTAGGAAAGCAACATTAGTTAGCCAAAATAAGGAAAACGGGAAAGTCTTCTTTCAGTGTTCACTGCCATGGCAGCCACCTAACTTCTCCCACAGATTATCCAGAAGAGAGGAGGACAAGGTAAGGAGACCAGATAGAGGAATCAAACGCTGAAGTGACCTAAAGGAGACAAATCAAGGGAGACTTGATATCTAGAGTTCTCTGAAGATTCTAAAGTGGGAAACAAGTGGTAAAAAACCCCAACACTCAAGGAGAGACAGTTCAGGTCGGCTTTCTACTGGAAGGAGCACTGTGTAAGGGAGAACACAATGAACAAAGAGGTTCAAGTTCCAGTCCTGCAGTTTCATAGCTATGTGATCCTGGACAAATTGCTATTTATCTGAGTTAGAGTCTTCTCATTTGTTAAAAAGTAATAGGAGTTCCTGCCTTACTCCTAGGTGATCAAATGGTATCATGCATATAAAAACATTCTATAAAACCCAAAGTACCAAATAAATATAAGTTGTGTATTTTCTCGCTCCCTTCCATTGAGAAAGGCATTTAGGCTGAAGAAAAGGAAGAAAAGTTATCTTTGGATTGTTATATGGATGTTAAGGGAAAAGAGTATGAGTATGGGAATAATTTAACCACTGCCTCTGCGAGGAAAGATACTCTGCCTTCAAATCAAGCAAAAACAAAAACAAGAAAACAATTAAACTTACTGAGTGGGAACTTCAGTTTTGGTTTGACCTGCTATGCTAATCTAGATATACCTATAAAAATGTAAGAGCTTATTTTCCAAGAGAAAGTATCCTATTAACTTTCAGTTCTATGAGAGGAATAGTAATAATGTAAACTTTTATTGAGTACTATACTAAACATTTTATATTATTAATGTATTTAATTCTCACAACAACCCCATAAGATGTAGATAGTCTTGTTAGCTCCTATTTATCAATAAGGAAACAGAAGCACAGAGAAAATGCCCAGGGTCACACAGCTAGTAAATAAATGCTGAGGTTCGGATGTAATCCGAGTGGTCTGGCATCAGAGCACCGTCCCTGAACTCCCCAGTGTACTTCTTCTTAGAGTAAGTCACCAAAGGTGTACAAATTGGGTATGGGAACAGAGTTAAGGGAAGACAAATAGATCTGAACCAGTAACTATGCTGGGTATTTCTATTTGGATCAGTTGTATTAAAATTAGGATTGTTCATTTCTGTGCTATTTCATATTGTTTCTAGCCAGAAGATCTTTTTAAAATTCCAGTTGTATTTCAGCAGTAATGATGGGCAAGTGGATTTCCCCATTGCTTGGAAATGCCTGAAAGGATCATTGTAGCGAGGTTGCAGTGACAATGGCCCCATGAACCCGCTGAGCATCCATAAACCTAGGAAAGTAGAAGCCCAGCACCTGAAAACCCTCTCCAGACCTCTTCCTGCTCAATATTCTCCTCCCTGAACCCCAGGCAACCCAAAGGATTTTGCTATAAATTCAGTAAAGCAGTATAAATTCAGTGTAAATCCATACAGAGATAAACTGTAGTTAAGATTTCTTCTCCCACAGACAATTTAAGCTTAAGAAAATTATGGAAGTTAATTTTTAGGTTTTTTAATTCCTGCTTTATATATTTTTGCTTCAAGAGTTATTTCAACATGAAAATCACTTCTGAACTGTTTCTTGTAATCTTATCTATAGGCATGAAGGGGCTATATAAGCCTTTATTATAGATTAATACTTTGACAAATGCGTTTTAGTGACTTTAAAACATTTATCATTATAGAAAATTATTCCTCTTTATATATCCTAAATGGGTGAAATTCCCAAGACCAACAGTGGCATAGGCAGTCGGCCTGAACATTTCTCTGGAGTAAGCTCTTGGTTAAGAAGCCTCTACGAGCTCAGACTGATTTGAAGGATCTGGTTTAACTGTCTCATGGAGCTACAGCTCTGGTTATTGTGCAATAAATACTTTTTAAGTGAAAGTATATGGCAGTTAATTCACTCTAGCTATTTGGACCAGGATAGATTCTGTAGAAGACCAGCCTTGGCCTCTTTATAAAGAACACACCTGGAAAAAATAGTATAGAGGAAATGAATGTCCCTGACTCAGCCTCCAGGTGGTCCCATCACCACAAAATTAGGTTCCTCAATATAATCCTTATCAACATCAACCCCTATCCCACCTAGCCTCCCCTCAACACATACACAATAAAGACAGTATCAGGGCTTTTACTGGTACTCTCCCTCTCTTCTAAAACTTCTTCTTGTGCTATTGTGCACCCTTCAGGTCATTTACCTCTCACAGATACAAGTTCTGAAAGGAAGGCCCTTCTCCCCTTCTCAGTGAATTTCACTTTAGGGGAGACCTAACAAAGACATTAGCCTCTGGACATTTATACCAAATGCTTAAATTAAGTTTAATGGTAAAAATTTTAGGACAGGTAGATATTTTGGCATATCTCAAATCAGAGGAGGAAAGTTGCTCTGAAAATCCACCATCCCTGTGGGACTAGAACTCAAATCTCCTGACTTATAATCCAATTATTTTCCCATCTCACCTGCTGACTCTTGAATCAGACTGTCTTGTTTGTTCTGATTTTTTTCCTTGCATTAAAGAAAAAAAAAATAAAACTCTGCTATGTTACCTAATTCAATAACCACTTCTGATATAACTGTGTATTAAGTATTTTGAATGGCATTTTGAGCTCTAAATCATTTCAGTAAATATTGGTACCAAAAATACCTTGACATCACAACTATTGGCTACAATAATTTTAGCATCACATACCCCCATAAACTGGTTGTTTTTATATTTTATACACTGTTTGACCTTTGTAAGACAACAAGATTCAAAATCCGAGGTCTAGGTCACTGAAGAGATTGTATCAAAATCTACTCCTTGGTAGTTTCCATCTCTGGAGAAATTCACAAGGAGACCAGAATGTTTAACCTTGCTGTGATCCAGCACAGCAAGCAAGCATTTGGGTTCTATAATGTCCTTTTACTGCCCAATGTTTAAATACTGTCAGTGAAACTTGTCCAGTCTTAGCTGAATTTTACCTTTACCTCTGCCACTGAGATGCATTATTTTTCATTCCAGTAATATGTTTTCATGTCTAAAATGAAAAAGAAAATGAGAGAAAAATATTTAACCATGGCCACATGATATGCCACATTTCTGTGACTATTCTGTGTGCTTCCAAACATCGCTTGCATACTTACCATTTTATTATTAACATATTTTGAAACTGAGGTAATAATCTAAAGCAGACTGAAAAGATCAAAGCTCTTCTTCCAGTCTTGCTAAGGTGTATTATAGTCAGATTTTGTTTTGAGGACCTGAACAAAGTCCAATCTCCATGCTTTACTCTCTTTAAATCATGTAGAACTCCAGGCAGATAACCAATCATCTGGCATCAATTATTTGTTCTAACTACATTATATGCAAAAAGAGAAGAAAAAAAAAACATTGGTATCTACTGTGTAAATTCAGATCTTACTACTGGAGACTCATTCTTCCTATTGTTAGTTGAATTCCCTGTCAAATCTCCAAGCAAATGAGCCTTATATCAAGGAGGCAAAGAGGTTTTATATTCACCAGTTAGGGCCTTTGATCTGTGTTTCTAATTGAAAGAGAATTTTTTAAGATTACCTGAGCTCCAAAGTTTATTTTGGTGTACAGAGCAAGGAAAGATCACTGTGTGGTAAACAATTACAAATTACAAAAGAGGTATCATTTGGGAGCCTTCAGCATTAGTGGTGTTGTCTGAGCCAAAAGATTATATACCTGTGCCTGCTTTTTCTTTTACTTGCAGAGCTCTTGTTTGAAAATGGACCTAATTGAGATTTGAATGCTTTATCTTTTGGCAGAGTTTTTACTGCAATTGCATATGGAGCTATGGCCACTGGAGAAACACTTGTTTTGGCACCTGAATATTCGAGAGCCAAATCTGGGGCTGCACATCTGTTTGCTTTGTTGGAAAAGAAACCATCTATAGACAGCTATAGTCAAGAAGGGAAAAAACCAGTAAGCACAACTATGATTTTAAATGTCCACTTATTATTAGTTATTCATATGCAAGCTCTCTAAATAGAGACTTAACTGAAGGCATTATTTGAAAACTGCAAAACATAGTGCTATAAAGAATTAAAAGCTTATATAAATAATTGTTACAGCTACAAAGGGAGAAAGGAGGGTCTTAATCAATCAAATGTTCACCTCTACTACTAAAATGTACATATTTTATATTAAAAATATACACTTCTAGTTTATTTGCCTGATACCGTGAGAATGTTCATGAACAAAGGATTGATTTATATATTTAATTTTATTTAGATAGCAAAAGTTTTAGTCTTGGATGAAGATTTACATTAGGATTTATTCACTTTTTTCCTCTGATAATATAAGCAAAGTAAATAATGCCTGCTACCTCAGATCCCATGTTTCATGGGAAATATATCTGCAAACAGAAGAGGGAAAAGGGAACTATATTAATTAAACTATTAAATATTAAAACACATATTTAGTCACAAACTCTAAAAGACTGTGAATATCAAAAGAGAAATAATAGGGAGATTGTACGGTTTCAAAATAAGCCTCTCAATAGCAGTCTTATAAATTAAATATATATTTAATTTTAAGACCTTTCAAGACATTTTAAATTTAAAAGAATAGCTATTAGGTATATACCTAAAAGAAAATTTCTATTTAAAAGTATTCCCCTCTAGAATTCTAATAGAAGATTTTTATCTATAGCAGCTTAAAATAGTACATTAGCACTAGAATTACATAATTATTAAAAGGAATGCCAGTTGTTAGTGACAGAAATAAAAACATCTTGAAATGCTCAAAGTAGAATACTCTAAGATACATCATAGTCAAAATAAGATTTCATACTTGTCTTTTGTTGGGGGAGGGTATAGCTCAGTGGTAGAGTGTGCGCTTAGCATGTGCAAGGTCCTGGGTTCAATCCTGAGTTCCTCTATTAAAAAAATTTTTTTCATAAATTAATAAATCTGCCTTCCCCTAAAAAAACTCTTAAAACCCTCATTCTTGTCTTTTGGAAGGTAAAGTATGTAGGAAACTTTTTTTTAACCTTAGGATTTAGATATATAATAATATTACTGCTTATTTCTTTCTAAGCATTTCAATAGAGGGATTGAGCATCTCACTGATAAATGTCCTCATAGAAGTGTATACAAGGCATAGAAAGTGGAAATGTTCCTTACAAAGACTATAAAATTAAGTAAAATTAAGTTATTTAACCTTCATTTTGTTTAATGTACAAATACTTCTAAATATCATTTCCTGTGCTTTAAAAAATTAAAATCTTGCAAAACAAAATTGGTAAATATCGATAACTATTGAAGCTGGGAAATAGGTATGTAGTAGTCCATTACATTATTCTCTCTACTTTTACAGATGTTTGAAATTTCCATAATAAAATGTTTAAAATAGTAAGAATAAATTTCTAAGTATATTAAAGTCTAGAAGTGTAGAACATCTCTCTATGCCTTTCCAAAAGGCGCAAGAGCATACACAGAAATAACTGTACTCTCCATTACTCTGCATTATTCTGGGTTTTTTTTAAAAACTTTTTTCACTAATAACATTCAGGTGTTGTAGTAGGTAACACAGGAAGCATTGAATAAGCTAAAAATAAACTACTGCTAAACAATATTTTGGCATATATCCTTCCAGATATTTTTCTCTAATTCTAGAACTCTTAATTAACCACATGTTAACATTTCTTTCTTTTGACAACAGAATAATCTCATCGACAGACATTTTTTGGTGCTCCTCCCCTCTATCTACCCCTGCCTCCTACCTATACACTGGGCTCAGAATGTGCTGAGCATGACTCTTAAACCTTAAACTACAGTTGATTGAGGGCAAACATGAAGGTCAAAAGAACCTAAAATCTTATGAACCAAATATATAAAGGGAAAATTAATCATCATTTAGTGATAGTTCTGGAAAGTCTTTTATAAACATCCTTGGTGTATATAAGTATTTTTTTACAAATTATCAACCACTAAATAGATTGACGCATAGAGAGAAAAATGAACTTTTAGGCAAGTGTCACTGACAAACAATGATCAGTTAAAAACAAAGATAAATCTGAATTCTTGATACTAACTGGTAATATATAGAATAGATAAACATACAAGTTCATGCTGTATAGCGCAGGGAAGTATGTTCTATATCTTGTAGTAACATGGTGAAAAAGAATGTGAAAATGAATATATGTATATTCATATATGACTGAAGCATTGTGCTGTACACCAGAAATTGACACAAAATTGTGAACTGACTATATACTTCAATAAAAATATACATACAAAAAGTCGTAAAAAATAGAATGTATGGTAACTGTAAAACATGGTCCAACTTACAAAAATAACATTTATGCATAAAGTTTATGAGGACCCCAGCTATTCTGAATTAAGCAATAAATGTCTATAAAGCACAAACTAATTTTTTAAAGATACATTTATTTAGCGCAGCTGGTCAAACAGTTAACCTGCAAATCGGATTGTGACTGGTACTGAAGCCAAAGGAAACAAGTGTTTTTAGGAAGTTGATGAAGTCCAGTAGTGAAGACAACAAGAAGTACAGATATAAAAATCTCAACAAAAGTGACAGAAACCAATGTGCAGTCATCAACTCTACAAAGAGAAATACGATGTTTAAAATTAAATTGATTGTAGAAATATGCACAATTTTTAGAAAGCACTCAGCCAGTGTGCTATAATTTGTCACAACTTTTCTAAGTCATCCTTCTAAACACTGTCAACTTTCACAGGACATATGTGAAGGGAATATAGAGTTCCGCGAAGTCTCTTTCTTCTATCCATGTCGCCCAGATGTCCTCATCCTTCGCAGCTTATCCCTTTGTATTGAGAAAGGGAAGACAGTAGCATTTGTTGGGAGCAGTGGCTGTGGGAAAAGCACTTCTGTCCAACTTCTACAGAGATTTTATGACCCAGTGAAAGGACAAGTGGTAAGGCTGAATTTAAATACAATTTGTCTGGGGGTTAGTAGGGCTATTCTTAAACATTCCCTTGTGCTTAAGCATCATCACTGATTTGGAGAAGGCAAATGATGCATTAGTTAAAAAAAAACCTTATCCCTTAACTAAGAGGATAAGCAAACCAATAACAGAAATGATGAATAGGACTTTGAGGCTAAGAACAAAGATCCAAACATTATTCAACTATTAGCGGAAATTTTGATCTTAGAAGCCATAGAATTATTTTAGAATACAGGTGTTGGAAGATGGTTCTAATGTTCACTTCTGCGCTCTTTCATCACTCTGTTCTGGTTTAAGACAGAGACAGTTTCTCTTCTTCCCTGGTACAGGCTTCCTGCTATTCACTCTGGCCATCTCCACTCCCTCAACCCAACTTTTAAAACTTTATGCATGATTAGAGCTTCTCTGAATCAGCTGCATTAGTTCTGCATCCTGATCTCAAAAAAAAAATGCAACCTCTCCCTCCTTTGCATTCCAAAGACTGTTTTTGTCACCTGGCACTTTTCTTAATCTATCTAATATTCAAGATTTCAATTATTGTTTCCCTGCAACCACCACGACATTACAAATACACAAAGACAACTTCGGATTCTGCCTCCTCCTACCCCCACAAAAAACTGTAAGTCCATAAAAGTCAAAGACTGTCATATTAGTCATCCTTCTGCTGCAATTTATAGCCGTTTCCCCATTGTGGAATCTCGAAGACTATGCAAAATGGAACACTCCAAAATGGCTCTCTTGTTACTAGTGAAAACAATGAACTAATGAATAACAAAACTATTTATTTACACATAGTGTAGCATACTCCCTCCTTCAAACTCTCCAACAGCAGTTAGAATAAACTGGAGTCCATACCATTAGATCAAGGTCCTTCATGATCTGGCCCCTGCCTCTCTCTTCAACTCTTCTCCTATCAATCCTACCTCATTATACACTGTGTGTCAGTCTCATTGGCTTCTTTATGTTCTTTAAACACACTGATGGGTGTTGGTTCTTGCTATTCCCTTCTCTAGAATGTTCTTACTCTAACTTCTCTGACAGTGCCTTCTCATCATTCACATCTCAGTCTAAATGCTACTTCCTTAGGTAATACTGTAAAAAATAATGCATCCACCCACCTCCTTCCCAAATCCTCACCACATCCTCAGTCACTCTATCCCATTATTCTGCCTTCATGACACTTTCTTTTTCCGAACTTTCTGTTTATTAGTGAGCTTATTGCCTGTCCTTCACTAGAATATAAGCTGCAGGAGGACAAAAGCTTTGTCTTATTTATTCCTGTTTCCCCAGTGCCTGAAGGGTCCCCATCACATAGTAGGTGTGTTCATCAAATGTCAGTTGAATTTTGTTATATGTCCCTGTGACTAAACATGGCTTTGTACAAAACGACATATTTCTACTTGTGGACTACTATTTACATCTACTCTTCCCCAGGGCTTTAATAAAGTGAGATCCTGTTACAGTGGAGGTTGGTCATTTTTCATCTGACTTCAGTACAAAGCACCAGGCTTTAGACTCTGGGCAGGTCTCTAGAATATATGGCCATTCCTAGAAAGGTCAAGTAAGTTTAGGACTCTGCACTTTAGTCAGTTACATGCCGTCTGCTTCTATACAACTTATGATTTATGAGCCTTCCTTGGGTAACACTGTACTGTGAAACAGCTTGAATTCCTAACTTTGTTATGATTTGTGTATGTTTGAATACAGTGAACCATGACATAATACAGTTGCTGGATCTTCACATACCATTCTCCATTCTGCTTTTGGCAGCTGTTTGATGGTGTGGATGCAAAGGAATTGAATGTACAATGGCTCCGTTCCCAAATAGCAATCGTTTCTCAAGAGCCTGTGCTCTTCAACTGTAGCATTGCTGAGAACATCGCCTATGGTGATAACAGCCGTGTTGTGTCATTGGATGAGATAAAGGAAGTAGCAAGTGCAGCAAATATCCATTCTTTTATTGAGAGTCTCCCCGAGGTAAGAAAATGTCTGAAATCTTGAACTACAAGAATCCTAAATAAGCCCAAATATTTTACTGGGCCTAAGTGGTGGTTCTTTTGTGTTCCTTGGATTATTCAATTTAGTTATTGCCAGCATCTAATGTAAAGTTAGATTTGAAAAGAAAAATTTGAGAGTTCTGTGTGACTATTTTTGCCAAGACTGAACTGTATTAATATTCACTGAATTAATTTTCATATTTTGATTTTTCACCTTCTATCCATTTATACTCTACTCATGTCTACACAACCATTATCCCTCCCTGGACCATGCCTGTAGCCTCTTAATCTGTCTTCCTGCTTCCAGTAATGTCCCATTTTAATTCTTCTTTCTTAAAGCAACTGGAAGGATCTTTTAAAAACATAAATTAAAACCTACTTGTCCCTGCTTAAAACCTCCTAATGGCATCCCTTTGCACTTAGAATGAAGTCAAAACTCCTTATATGGCTGGCAAGACCTTCTGTGATCTGGCCCTGCTTGCTGGTCCAGCTCCTTGCTCATCATGTTAGTTTACTCTGCTTCAGCCACACTGGCCCTTTCTGTGTTATGAACGTGCCAAGTTCTTTCCTACCTCAGGACATTTATACTTGTTGTTTCTTCAGCTGGGACCTCCCTTCCTCTGACTCTTTGAAAAGTCAACTCCTTAATTTTCAAGCTCTTTTAAATGTCACCTTTGCAGAGGCCTTCCCTGGCTACCTTATTTTAAAAAGTCCTCACCACCCCTATTGCCTATCACTTAGTCGTCAGGGCACTTATCACAGTCTAAAATTATCCTGGTGTTTATTGACTTGTTTAGGGCCTCCTGTTCCCACTAAAGTGTTAGGTCCTTGCCTGCCATTTTGGTCATCTCTTTGTATTGGCTGGGACAGATGACACAAAATCTCAGAAAAGTTAAAAATCTTGGCAAACTATAGAGACAACTTTAGCATAGCAAGCACTGTTACAAAACCAGAAGTAATACACAGAGACACTAATTGTGATTGCAACTTAAAGTTCTTGCAATATCTGATTATATCTATATGCACACACAAATAAAATAAAAATATAGATACCTACTTTAGATTGGAAACAAACTTTTATAATGTGGTATTCTAGCTCACTTTAAAAGGAAATGCCAAAGTTTAATAACTATTATATTAAACAGCTAATTTAGTATCCCGTTCCTTGGGGGAGAATAATGGTCACCATACTCTTTTTATACTACTAGATCTTCCGTCACCATCTCCTGTCCACACTAATTGGTTCCTGTAACTAGAAATGAGCCATTAACACAATTTTCCTTACTCCAGTAAGGTTCTTCAGTACTAAGTATAATAGAAGGATTAACATATTTTTTATAAATATTGTGACCTTATGTCTTTCCCTTTTTTACCAAGGCACTCATTGCACTATTGATTCACGGTCAGATTATTATCCACATAACTCTGACATATATTGTAAAATGCTATCCATTTTATATTTGTACCATTTGACTTTTATTCTTAAATTCTGTGTTATCTTTCATTCTTTTCATTGTAATTCTCAGATATACTCAAAAATTACATATTGCAGAGATAATGTGCTTTTTACAACAAACTTTGAGATCAAGATGATGTTATTTCCAAAAGAAAGAATAGCTTTTTTTAATGTTTTTAAATTTAACTTTAGTTTACCTTCATATCACTGTTTGCCCCAAAATATGTAGAAACATAAAGAAAGCTGATGCCAAAAATGTCATTTGGGTACAGGACAGTGGAACTAGTAGTCTAGCAGCAATGTAAATGACTATTTGGAGTGAAGAAGAGACAGGGCATTTCAAAGATCACTTAGGAGCTATTTCCAGGGTTAAGTTATGAAGGCTTGAATTAATAATTATAAGGTGAAATAAAACAAGGAAAAGGCTTTAAAAGATATCATAAAAGTGGGATTGTCAGGACTTAGTTCCACATTGTCTGTTGAAAGTGAGCAAGAAATTACATGATGGCAGCCTACTGGAATAAAAACGCATAGAGCATGTGATGAGAGTACAAAGGAAGAAATGACAAAGACTCCAGGAGCCCAGAGAAAACCACAAAGAGGATGTTGCTTTGAACTGGGTTTTGAAGAATGAGTAGGAGTTTACTAGGAAGACAAGGGATAAATCCATGCTTAGGAGGCAGAATAAGTTCATGTAGAAACACATACATGGAAAAGAGTTTTGGGTGTTTGTGGGGGGATAAATTTAAAATCCTGAGTATAAAGCATAAACTGGGGAATTGAGAAGGGGCCAAACAAAATATGAGCAGGGACTAAATGTGAAGGTCCTGATATGCCAGGCTAAGTTTGGACTCTGTATAATTGGAAATAGGAAACCACTAGACATTTTTAGGCAGAGAAATGACATGATCAAATTCTTAAAGGAAAAAATTGCTGCTGAAGCTCAGCCTTTGGTTTGCTCATCTAAGAGGTTCTGTGGCCACTGCGGCAATGGCAGAGACTGCATGAAAGTCCTGGTACCTTACAACAGTCTGAGTGAGAGAATGAAGGTCTACATTTTCTTTCCCCCAGTTCCAGTTTCCAAAAGTTCTTAAACATCATACCCTTCTCTTCCAGTCATGCACAAAGACTGTATGTTTGGGGCAAATTTGTTTGGTGGCCAAAATGCTGTAAGTCTATATGTGGTCTTTATTAATCCTACTTAGGATGAGTTATCAAATATTTCTATATAAATATTCATATATTTGATTACTGATTGTTTCCCCAGCCTTTTCTGGGGGTGTTAAATAATATATATATCACTTGTTAAATATATATATTATATAGTATATACAATTTATAGTATATTTTCTTCTAAAGTGAAAAAACATGGAATTATAAACAAATGTAGCTCTAAGAGTTTCAGGTGAAGGATTATGGACCTGACTCAAACCAGGAGAGTGATCTTGAATAGCAAGGAGTCAACTTGGAGCTTGCCAGGGGTAACACATCTATGGTATATGCCATGGAGATAACCTGCAGGCATTTGGAAATATTGGCCTGGGAGAGGAGCAATACTGCCCTGGTCTTGATGATCCTCTGAGAAACATATCAGATGTAGGTGTCTCCTAGTCCCCACAATTTCACTCAGTGGCAGCTCTCAGTCAAGCCACATCACGGCTCCCTGAGGAGGACTTCGACCACTGGAACCACTCTGAAACTCCTTTCCCAAGCCTGCAGGGAGTCTCCAAAATGCAGTTGGTTTAGGATTAGACTCTCTGATGTTCCCTCCAGGATCTAACTGACTTTTAGCCCCAGATTCACACTGAACAGCCATTGCCCCTTGAGTGTCTCATAAAACAGCTGATTCCAGGGCATTCACAAACCCAATGTTTGCTAGAAAATTTATTTAGATTCTCAGTTTAAATAGGAAAGAACAAAATTCTATAGTTCTTCATTAAAAACAAACACACAAAAAAACCAAAAGCCTTCCATTTAAGTATCTGAAAATGTTTTTAGGTTGCTATTGAGACAATGTGTATATTCACATTTTTAATCTGTTCTGCTTAACGATGGGCAAAAATATCTGAATTTAATTTTTATTCATTCATTCTTGAGACTTACATCTTCCTGCAAGTCAGAGAAGGCGAAGAAATGCAAAATGATTTCCAAGCCAATACTGTATCTTCTTCAGCTATACTAGAGGAATCTGTGTACAATTTAAGCTGAACTGGCAGAAAGAGCTACAAGCCCATTATCATTCGCATCCAATCCTCTCTCAATTTTTGGCGTAAGATTAAATTCTCTAATTTAGATGGGAACTTTGTGGTGTATAGAAATGAATTACATAGTTTCATCTGATATTCTGTAGCCTTATGATTTCAATTTTAATGAATTGCATCTCAGGAGGAAGAGACTTAGCCAGACCCAGCAGTCCAGATAAAATTGCAGAGGAAATAGCTAAAGTCTGTTTTCTTTGTAGAGCATTCACTTCAGAAAAGATGCTTTTACTGCGTGTTAGTAATTCAGACACTCATTGTTTCATATAAAGTAAGCAACTGTGCATTTTAAATTGAAAAATGAACTTTGAGATGAATTAGACACATTTGTTATAAGGTTATATCACAGGCTCTCTTGAAATCCACTCTGCTGGAATGGTACCTCCTGAAGGCAGTCAGGTGTGGAGGTGTCAGCTGATTCAGGCTTCTCCAGGGTACTGAGACAGAGGAACAGCATATTAATCGTGTGCTGCATCTTCTCTTTGTTTCTGTATGACCCACCCTTAGAAAGTTTTGCACTTGGACTTGCTTTCCCAGCGGACCTTGTCCATCTACATATTCTTGTCTGAGTACCAATGTAGACAACTAGCAAGGGCTACTAGAAAGCAGTGTGGAACTTTGGAAGGAAGCATAGTCAATGGGACAATCTAGAAAGCAAGTGGGAGCCTGCTTGCACAAACTGAACTGATCTACTGTGATTTAGCAGACTACAGTGGCTTCAGGATATGTGAGAAATTTCCTTTACCCTTCCATGTAGGGTAATACTGAAGACGGGGTCATTAGTTAGTAGGAGAGTGTGGAAACACTGTGAAGTGCTAAATGTCACTTTCATGGCCTGAAAAGGTGAATGGGCTGTCTCAAGATACCAGCCTAATTTACTGTCAGGAAGATACCTATGCCACTGAGAACAACATCCTAGTGTCTTGCAGAGATGTGCGCCTAGGTGTTTAGCAAGAGCCAAAGTGAAGAAGGCCAATAGTTTCCTTCAAAATGATACATTAAATCATTTTGACCTGAAAATAGAAGATAATTTTACTTAATGGGAAAAGATTTGTGTTTACTGGCAACCTTTTTTGCCAATATTTTTTATGCCTTAATTTGAACAATTCCTTTGTAGAAGCAAAATGGCAAAGGTCTGTTGTTTGTGATCAGATTAGATATGTAAATGAGATGGTAGTGTTTACTGCTGGTTTAGCATTTATTTGCAACAAAGCCCAAAAATAGATTTCAGCACTTGTTGGGACACAAATTTTCAAGAGTAGCAAAATTTGAAATATTTAGATGGCTCTCGCCCACAATTGCCATGCTAATTTAAATAACCAAGCCTTGCTTTCTTAATTGCATGTTCCTATAACAGAAATACAACACGCAAGTTGGACTGAAAGGAACACAGCTTTCTGGTGGCCAGAAACAAAGACTAGCTATTGCAAGGGCTCTTCTCCGAAAACCAAAAATTTTGTTGTTGGATGAGGCCACTTCAGCCCTTGACAATGAGAGTGAAAAGGTAACATCCTCTTCTTTCATCTCAGAATATAGTGTGAAATATGAGAGTAGAGTATCATGGAAGAGACCAAGGTCAGTTTGGGGGAATAAAAGACCTGGAGAGAACTATAGTCATTGAGTCACCAGTTCTAATTAAGCTTTGGCCTTTAAAAAAATGTTAGAAGCTGGTGGGGAGGTGGGAAGGAGTTGGGACACAGGGCATCTCATGTTTTAGAAAAGTTTTCTCACTTGAATTGATCTCATTATCAAAAGGGATCCAATTCTGGAAACATTTCTCCACTCGAGAAAAAAGCCCAAGGAAAATTACTTCCCTACTTTATTATTATCCTAATGATGCCAAATAAAATAATAAGGCAATCTACATGTATAAAAAACTGATCTCCACTGCATTGTTGGGGCCTGCTAGTTACTCTACCTTCTATAGACAATCATAGCTTGGTTAAAAAAGGAAGGGAGGGAGCAAACAGACATGTAACAATAGATTTACACTGCAGGCTCCTCCAGATGTTTAATTTTGCTATGTCCTTGTCCCCTGGTTGTTTCTTGTATATAGTAAGTTCTTATTTGTTAAATGAACCTTGGTTGAGTGAATCATAATCTTTAATATTTATCAATGTCTAATTATATGCTATTATCTCAGTCTTTACAACAGCTTGATGAATTAGCTTATTTTATTATCATGCTCATTTTACAGATTAGCACACTAAGACTTAAAAAATTTAAGTCACTTCCTTAAATTCTACTAGAGGGTGTCTGACCTACGAGCCCATGTGATTAATCACCACATGACTGCCATTTGTTAATGGTTCTCATTCTTGATTTCCAAAGAGACAGTGTGTTATGAAAGGAACAACAAGACTTTTGGAATTAGACATATCTGGGCTATAATCCTGGATTCATCAGTAACTAGCAGTGTGACCTGCATCAAGTGACCTGCACTTTTCAAACATTGGTTTACTCATCAGAAAAATGAAAATACCCTTTACAGGGTTATTGCAAGTATTTAATGAGATATCTATCATTGGAGTATTTTATATAGTCAACAAATGTTGGTTTTCACCTTCCAGTCTCATTTCACATATACAACATTATATCCTCGTAGCTGGGATGGTGTTTTAGCCAGGACAGTTTTACAACTAAAATCTACAAAAAACATAACAAAAACAAAACAACAACTATGAGAAGGAATGAAATAAGTAAATTAGACAATTTCATTTAGGTATGGAAATACTACTTTCTGGCTTTGACTTTGGAACCACTGACTTACACACAACCATCTAATTTTTATTAATTGTCACAAAATCTTTTCCAATTAAAAGCCTCATGTAATGTGTCTATAATTACTTTTTCTAGATTTCTATTGAGTAGAGTATTTCACAAAGTAAGGTAGTTTCCTTGGAGCATAGCATAGACACAATGAAAGTTATTAGATTACCTTAACCAATTTGACTTGGGCGAGATTATTAGCATCTAACCCAAGCTGGCAATCACAGGTCCTTCTCTTTTGCAGGTGGTTCAGCACACCCTTGATAAGGCCAGTAAGGGGAGGACATGCCTAGTGGTGGCTCACAGACTCTCCACAATACAGAATGCAGATTTGATAGTAGTTCTGCACAATGGAAAAATAAAGGAACAGGGAACTCATCAAGAGCTCCTGAGAAATCAAGATATGTATTTTAAATTAGTAAATGCACAGTCAGTGCAGTGATGCTGTTGAAGATGTAGCACATGTTTTGATCTTTGTGTAATGCAAAGGAAGAGTACTTAGTAATTATTTGGCAGGCTTTGATCTCTTTTATTGCATGTATCAATACTTAGAATCATGCTATTCGTGTACGGACATGTTCTGTTTACACACCATCTTCCCCTCAGATTTTTAAAAGGAAACAAAAACTTGCTAAACTCATTTAAGTGAGATAATGCCTATGTCCCTCACTTCATAAAAAAGCGTATTTGCTTATAAAGCAGTTTGCTGCAAAGTCACTCTCTTTTCCTATCAACTTCTGCTATAAAATTGGGAATATAGTGCCCGTTAATTAAGTTGGAAGATTTTAAGCAAAGAGAGAGTAAGTTGTAGTTGGGTCTGTGACATTGCAGGAAGAATGATTTTAATTTGGAACTTCCCGAATTTTGTAGCACATATTAGAGTATTTTGAGCTAGTCCTTTTCTCCAGACCATAGGACTTTCTCTCATTTTATCTCTGTCAATGCTTCTTTTAATAAATATCCACTATTTCCCAAAATCCCATTATATGCCTTTGTCAGGGGGATGGAGAGAATTACAATGTAAAATTTCTGGCAGAATTAGGTAGTTATCTTCCACTTCAGTAAGAGGAAATGCTTCACATGATCCATTCTGAAGATATCATTATTCCAAGCTTTGGGTTTGGCAGAATAAATCACAGACTTACCTGTGTATGAATACTTAATTTACTTAAAATAAGAGCTACTTCTATTATGGGTAAAAAACTTTAAATGTCTTTATTATTATTAAATCAAGTAACTTGTTTAAATTTTATATGTACTTTAATATGTGTATGATTTAAAAATTCTGTGTAAATAACAATATCGGTAAACTGAGTCATATTTTCCATTTACTTCAATATGTAATTTCACCCAGTGATTTTTATCTCTATTCTTAATTGTGTCTTCTTCCATTTACAGTGACACTTAGAACCGTCTCTCTAAAGTTTACTCTGCCAATAATCTGAAATCTTGTGAAAAACCATTTGCATATTAAGCCACTTTTTTAAAAATGCAGAATAAAAATAGGGTTGGATTGAGAAACAGATGTATCATTTAAAAGCATTGACACTGGAAGCCTTGTGGCCCCTTTGCTCTGTGTGGTTGTAGAGCTTTTTGTGGTTTCTCTTTCCAGAGTCGGGTGGGCAGGAGGGATAGGGCAGTATAGTATGGATATGGTTAAATCCTCAGAGTAGGACAAGCTCAGGCTCCGATTTGTAATGTCTCCTAGATTAGCAAATACAGCAATGCCAACTTTCCCCTTGAGTCTATCCATAGCAATCCCACAGCAATACCTACAGAGGTCAGTAAAACACTTTTCTAATTAACAGCCCTAACTACTGTTTAATTTGCGTTTTTGTTCAAAATATTTTAAAGGATGCTCCACAGGCAGCATTCTCTTAAAGTCAGCTGCCTTCACAGGAACAAGCAACCATGCTGAGAACTGGGGTCCCAAATAATATACAAGGATCTGTGAGGTTATCAACTGATGAAGGCAGAAAGAAAGTAAGTAGAGATCAGCTGCTTTTAGGGACTGCCACAATTTAAAAGTTTAAAATTGCTGTATTGTTCTTAAAATATTCTTTTAAATATATCATTTTAATTAAAACAGTGTTTTTAATAGAATCAAAACACCTTGTCCCCAAAAATATTCCAACCAGCTATGGAATTATTTCAGTAAGCTCAGGATTTTAAGAATACTTATAGGAATTTTTTCAAAATGAACACTCATTTATACAAATCTTACCAGTTTTGTAAGTCTGACTTTTTAATCCCTATGCTTTTTCTTAAAGCAGGGGATTCTATAATTGAAAAAGAAGCTAAATTAGGAATTGAGACTTTTACCTTAAAAAAAAGAAGTGAAAAGATACTTTACCAGATTTGAATCTAGGTTTTAAATTTTAAATCACTCATTTAAGCTCTTATAAATTAATTATTAAATGACATTGTGTTCAGGTTTGTAGTTCACACTTTGATATTTACTTAAGAGATTTAAGTAATGAATGCCACATTATTCAGGGCATCAAATCAGCAAATTTAAAATGTGTTTTCTTACAGTGTCTTAGATATTATATTCAATAAATACTAGGGAATTCACCTCAAAAAGATATCTACCATAGCAGGTATGCATCATTGATACTAAAATGAGACTTATATTTTACTGAAAAGATGAGCTGGTGGATTGTAAATTGTTTTTGCTTCAACAATCACATATTGGCATCTCCTTGTTGTGGGTATTATCAATCATTGGTAACCCACTGGATAGTTTAGTTTTATTCTGTGCTAGCTTAAGTCCATAAAAATGTTTTCTTTCAATTCACATAGCAATTTTAATTTTACTTTACTTAACTTTAATTTTAATTTAATTAATTTAGTCTTTTATCATAGTGCATGAATTGGTTTAATGTATTTAATTTTGAAATAATTTAGTACTTGAGTGTACCTCGCCAAATTCCTCTTAGATCCTTGTGGACCAAATTTCTTATAAGACTCCTCCCTATAGTCTACGTTCTTCCCTAGTCTCGAGGACTTCCTGGTCTCAGGAAAACACTGACCTCTGCCAGTCATGATTCATAGCCTAATACTTATTTAGGCTGACCTCAATCCAAACTTGTCCAAGCCTTCTTGCCCTCTGCTTCTACTTTACCTCTGGGCTTGAATATGTTACAAGAGATGAAAATGAAGCACCACTAGGGGAGAAAAGGTGGGAGGGACAAGGGACTGTTAAAATACCTGGCCCAGAAAGCCCTAAATACAGTGCAGGCAGCTGACCAGAGAGGTCAGGATCTGTCAGAGTTGTCCTTTAAATGTTAACATGTTATAGTAGCACTCAGCCATGGCCACATCTTATCCTTTGCACCTCCTTTCCTTCCTGGGAAGGAGGGCAAGTCTTAAAATAATTGAAATACCATTGAGGGGGCCAGTGGAATAGAAATAATGTAGCAAGGATAAGGCACAGATACTAATGAAAAGAAAATAAACCACCATGTCACACCTGTTTTATAGCTAATCCAACCAATCCCCTTTATATCTTGCCACTAATTAAAACAGGCTGTGGTATGTTTTTATTTAAGTCAACTTAGGTCATAACTAATAACAAGGTTTTTAGCCTACTTAATGTGTCATTTTCATGGTACATATAGACTGCTTTGCATGTGACCTATTGTATGAAAATATTACCTGTTAGTGTCCACCTATGTATTCACTGTTTTAATTCTGAGCTATTATTCCAAGAGGGTTAGTGAAGTGGACTCATAGATTGATTGGAAAGTTCATTCATAAGAACTAGTTAAGGGAGGAAACTGGGAAAACTGGAAGTAATAATTACCAGAAATTTAAAAGTTTATTTAAAAGTCATAATTATTTAAAAAAAATGCATGGATCATCAAATGTCTACATAGTACTTCAAGTAACACAACTTGCCTCCTTTTAGCAAAACCACACTGATAAGGCCTGTATTACTTTTCCATTGCTGCTATAAAAAATTGCCACAAACTTAGTGAATTAAAACAACACAATTTTATTACATTGCACTTCTGGAGGTCAAAAGCCTAAATCAGTCTCTGTGGGCTCTAGGGACAGGTCTATTCCTTGCTCTTTTTCAACTTCTAGAAGGTGGCCTGCATCCCTCTGATCTCTGCTTCCTTCACCATATCTCCATCTCTCTCTGCCTTTGATCTTCCTCTCTTACTCTTATAAAGACCGTCATTACATTAGGCCCACACAGATAATGAAGGATAATCTTCCCATCTCAAGATTCTTAACTTAATCACACCTGCAAAGTCCCTTTTGACATATAAGTTAGCATATTCACAGGTTCCAAGAATGAAGATGTGGACATCTTTGAGGGGCCACTACTCAGCCTACTACAAAGCCTATCAATTTAAACTCTTATTCCATGGAGAAGACCAGACAATTTTTCTCAGATTTCTATTGAATAAAAGCTCAAAGAGAACTCTGAAAACATCCAATCCAACATCCTCACCATATGTTAATGAGAGAGCAAGAATTCACATATCTTGCCTCTAAGCCCTGTGCTTTCTCCACTGCAACATGGTGCCTATCCTCATTACTAGGCCAGGATTTGGAATGCGTTTGTCTTTCTTCACTTTTGCTACTGGGTTCTGCTACTGCTGGCATTTCCTTTTATCCTGAGACCGGATTTATTAAGTAGAAGTTTATACCAAGCTCTACTTTCTTAACCTTATCCTCTTTTCATTAAATAGTTTTATGTGCTAGCAAGTGGGAAAAGCATCCTTTGTAAGTGTATGAGCTTTCACATACTTCTGAATCAGTACACTTTTGAATTTTCCTAAAACCATTTTAAACTACTGCTTCTAATGAGAGCTAACATTTTGGGGGGAAATTTTTCACATAGGTATGGAATAAGCACTTTACATACATTGTCTCTCTAGTCCTCATATCAATCCTATAATGGCATATATTATTACTTTACTTTAAAGAGAAGAAAACTGAAGCTTAAGGAAATTAAGTAACTTATTGAGGCTTGGGCTTTAGAATTCATACCCTTGTCTAACTCCAGAGCCCACACAGTTTTCATCATAGCACCGAGGACTTCTGGCCACAATTTATTCAGGAAGATGGCTAGCTGAATTGAGGGTGCAGTTGTTGCTCACAGGAATATACTCACAGGTCAATGTGAGAATCAAACTAAAATTTTGGGGGTAGTTACATGGTCTAATTAAATTAACCAGCCAAACCCTAAAACTACTCTGTACATTCACACCACTGGAAAAAGACTGAATTCCACCCAAGGTATGAGATATGTTTTTCCTTTAGTGTTTACTTACATGTATAAATGTGGATTTGGGCACTTTTTACATGGGCAAAATTGCAGAAATACGAGAATTCCAAGCTAAAAAAATTTTGAAACAGGCACCCTTCTTAGACGAATCATAATCATAGTCTTTGAAAATATGCTGAAGAGCATCACCAATGTAACTGAGTTTCTTAGGCATGTTTTCTTAATGATTTATACTTAATTATCAAGGTTCAGTTTAATCATACTGAAATGCTTTTCTTTTTGAACAGCTTGAAGATCTGCTTAAAGATAATGTTTATTTATTGAGATTTCAGGAAAAGAAAAGTTAGACAATTAGATGCAAAAAACTAAATGAATGCAATCACTACTGCATTGTTAGACTAAGGAAAAGAATGGTCTCATAAACTGATCTGTGTTTGTGTAGACGTAGTAAATGATGGAATGCCATTCTTTATAAGTCAAGTAAAATTTGCTATTGAATGAAGGTATTTTATTGATGATCAACTGTGATTACTACATCACAGTAATGTAATATATGGCTAAAATATTTTCTGCCCACTTGAAAGTCAAGAAGAGATTCTAGGAAAAGAGTTGAAGTCGTTAAATTACCAGAACATTTCAGACAATTGTAAATTAAAAAAGAAAGAGAGGGAGAAAGAACGAACTAAAGAGGAAAAAATCTATTTGAAAATACCTAAGCAATAAAGAATGTAATACACTCTAGCAATCAGTTTAGGACTAGAAGGAAGAAATATTCCACCACAAAATCCTCAGAAAGCCTAATAAAAGATGTACAAATTTAAATGTAAATTCCTAGCTCCATAGCCCCAGTTAATGTAGAATTATACCTTTCCTACATTAGTTTCATGAATTCCTTTACTTCCCAGTTTCCTAGAGCTATATCCCCTGAGAAGAGATGGGTTAAGGGCAACATATAAGCAAAAAAAGGAAAGGTCTGTCTCTCAAAGGATGGTATATACAGGACACCAAAGGAAAGCAGGAGCA